GCAGGCTGTGACCCCGGGCATTGCAGCCCAGGAGAGGGGAGCAGCCTCTGACCCCGGGCATTGCAGCCCAGGAGAGGGGAGCAGCCTCTGACCCCGGGCATTGCAGCCCAGGAGAGGGGAGCAGCCTCTGACCCCGGGCATTGCAGCCCAGGAGAGGGGAGCAGCCTCTGACCCCGGGCATTGCAGCCCAGGAGAGGGGAGCAGCCTCTGACCCCGGGCATTGCAGCCCAGGAGAGGGGAGCAGCCTCTGACCCTGGGCATTGCAGCCCAGGAGAGGGGAGCAGCCTCTGACCCCGGGCATTGCAGCCCAGGAGAGGGGAGCAGCCTCTGACCCCGGGCATTGCAGCCCAGGAGAAGGAGCAGGCTTTGACCAGAGATGAAGGAGATAAACAGAAGAATTCAGCTCAGTGTCCTTTTTTGGTTCATTTTGCTGTGTCTCCCAACCTCCTTCAATCCTGTTCTCTGCAATTCGGCCTCCAGGGATGATTCCCATTGTCCTGTCTCGCAGGCATCTTCATCATGACCCCGGCACCCCCGTAACTGGCAGCGGCACGGTGCTGGAAGTAGCCTTTTCCGGCTGCCGCTGTCTCGTGTTCTGTGCCCGTCATGAGTGCCCCGCCAGCGCCCACTCCCCGCCGTCCTTGGGACTCGGGCTCTGCCCAGGCTGCCCTGTTCCCTGCTGGCCCTCCGCCCTCCGCCTCGCCAGAAGCCCGGCCGCAGGTGAGAGCCCGGCCCCTTCCCACACGGTGGATCTGAAGCTAGTGGCGATTCTCTGCCACTTCTGGAGCTGTGCCAGGCCCCACGCTGCTGTCAGCCGCCTCCCTGCCCAGCCCCCACCGCCGCAGATGAGGAACAGACTGAAACGAGGTGAGCAGAGAGAGACTAATGAGCAGGAGAAAGACCGGAATCCGAGACCGAGGCTTGTGCTCCGTGGGGCTGTGGGATCCGTAAGCCACAGAGCTGAACCCCTGAGCGAAGCAGCGGAGCGGACTCAGGCCTGGGGCGGGGAGTGGGGTGTGGCCCCCCCCCTTGCCCAGGGCAAGAAAGAGTTTGGGATCCACCTGTCATTGGAACCACTGGAAGACTGTAGTGCGTGGTGCAGGGCCCTCTGCCCCTCCTCCCTGTCCTTAGCTCTCCAGTCCCCACGGTCAGGCTGAGGACAGTCACCGGGCAGTGACCGCTTGTTGGCAGAGTCGCCAGACCACAGTGCAGTGGCCAGTCTCTGCTCCTGCCTTAGACTTCCTGTTCCTGTCTATGCCGCAGAACTGGTAAACTGAGTCAGGACCCTCCCTGCCCTGCATCCAAGTTGAGACCTCACTGTATGTGGGGAAAAGAGGGGCCAGAGCTGGGGTGCTGGTGGTCAGATGTCGACTTGGCCTTGGTTTTCCGATATGCAACACGGATGATCTTTAAGCTTTTTCCAGCCTTAGCGCTCTGTTTTGGATGGAGCTTTTCAAACGTGTATTTTTATTAATTTTTGGCGCCTCAGCGGGCTGGACAACTGGGATAACGATCTCTGTCCCTGGGGGTGGACCTGGAGCCCATCTGAATCACGTTAGGAAGTGGACTTTGCAACTGTAAACCCCAAGACCTTGGTTCTCACGGCCGGTATTGTTGGGACACTGTCAGGATAGGGGTCCAGTGTTAGGAAAAGACCATATTTGAAATTATTTCCGAACAGAGACTGATGGCAACCAAGTTCTGCGTCTGCTCCCCTATTTACACAGCCCGCTGGTGGGCATCTGCGGAGACTTGCAACCTTTCTGTAATGAAGGTCCCTCACCCCATCACAGGGCCAGACCCCGATGTTCAAGGGCAGGACTCACCAACCAGGCCACCTGTGTCCACTCCCGGGACACTGCATCCTGGTGGTAAGAGCTGACCGCGAGAGCCGCTCCCGCCCCCTGCCCCCCCCCCCCCCCCGCCCCCTGGGCCCCGCCCCCTGGGCCCCGCCCCCGCATCCAGCTGTGAGGCGCAGGTGGTAACCGTGCTCCCCTCCAGCTGGGCTGGGCGTGCACACAGGGTCCCTTAGGCAGGAAAGAAGCTGTGGAGGGGGGGGCGGGTTCGGAACTCGAGGGGACCTGCCTGCCTTGATGGGGTGGAGGGTTGGAGGCAGCAGCTCCTCACACCAGCCCGAGGACGAATGCCCCAGATGCCCTGGTCCGCTCTCTCAGAGGGGCTGTGCCTGTCTCGAGGGACGGTGCCTTCCCTGTGCAGGGGGACAAGGGTGGGGGACGCCCAGGCTCAGGACCCAGAAGACACCAGGTCCGCAATCCAGAGCTGTTGACCAAGCCTCTCAGTGAGGCCTGACCCACGTAGACGAAGCCTCTCATCCTTGTTTCTTGTTCTTTTTCTCTATTCTGGGCACTGGTCCCCGCGGGTTTACACTGGACATTTCTGAGGTCAAACCCCAATCTCACAGGCCGAGTTCAGAGGGCAAGGGTGAGGTGGGAGCCCCGGCTGGGCACGGGGGAGCCATGCTGCTTAGCAGTCAGCCGCAGGCCAGCGTCCGGTCCTAGGCATGGGAAGGCAGCCCCGGGAATGATGAGGCGGCTGGCCTGGAGGGCAGGGACCGGGCGTGGGGCTGGGCTCCAGGAGTGGGGGCCACGGCTGCCTTGGCGGGCTCCTGATGACCCGATGGAAGCCCTCGGCACCACTGCCCCAGCACCTCCATCTGCTGCACCCCAAGGCTCGGGTCCTGAGTCAGCGTGGGTTCTGGGTGACGCCTCAGAGAGCGGCCCCACCTTCACCCCCGAATGGTGGCCCCACGGGCCTGGGATTGGCCCTCCTCCCTCAGTTTCTGCCCAGCTGTCTTGCTTAGGACCACACTCTGCTTCGAGTCCAGGGATTTGTCCTGAGTCCCCGCTCAGGGGTCAGGGACAGTGTCTGTCGCTGGGGCTGGGTCCAGCCCAGCAGGGTTTCCCTGCTCACCGGAGCCGCCCCGGACCCTCCAGATGCGCCTTCCATGCTGGACTACACCAGAGCTGCACGAGCCACGGCCATTTGCTCTGTCTTCTGGACCCTGTGCCTTCCCAGGCTGGCTGCCTTGCCACGGCCCGGCTCTTCGCTGGGGAAGCTGCTGAGTCCCCGACCTGCCTGAGGCAGCTGCCGCCTGTCCTGTGTCCCGTCTCCACAGGCTGCATTGCATCGCGGGCCAACGTCTTCCTCAGGCTGGACTGAGTGGCCTGGGCTCCTGCCCAGCCTGGGACCCTCTGAGTCTGCGGGGAGCACCCCTGGCCTTGGTGGAGGGGTTTGCAGCTTCGGGGCTGTCCAGACGTGTCCCCTCACAGTCCATCGGGACCCAGTGCCTTTCGTTCCCCCCTGCGTCATTCCCAAACATGGCCCAGGTTCAAAGTCCACCCAAACCTCAGTCCCGTCTGTGCTTTATGCTCTTGAGAGAAGACAGTTTCTCTCCCACCCTTGGTGTGTGTGTGTGTGGGGGGTGTTCTCACCTGAGTTGGTATCTCAGCAGGTGTTTCTATTATGGATCCACTACCTGGAGCTAAGTATCCAAGGATTTAAAGATTGATTGAGATTCTTACTTCTTTTTCCATTTCTTAAACCGTGTACATTCCTCCAACACAGAACGTGCCAGAAGGACCTGGAGTTGGCAGACGGGGCCCGGACAGGTGCTGGTTCCTGGGAAGAGACTGAGCTTCTCGTTACCTCTCAGTTCCTCTCGCGAACAGACACGTCCGCTCCCAGCCTCCCTCGCAGTGAGGTGGGCCAGGGGCCGCGCTGTCGGGCAGAGCAACGATGTCTGTGACGTCCAGGCTGGTGCCCAGGGCCTTCTGAGTGAACCTCCTTTCTGTCCCTCCCTTCTCGTAGCTGGCTGGGCCCAGACGAGCAAGCAGGGGCTGCAGGTCTAAGTGGGAGGAGGTCACGTCTCGACGTCATTGCATGGAAGGCCCCTGCCAGGCACCCAGCTGGGCGTGGAAGAGGGGGAGCTCCCGCTGTGTTTAGCCACCAAGGGAGGGAGGTGTTTGTGAGAGTGGGCAGCCTTCAGTGACCAGCGTAGTTCTGATCCCGTATGACTCTGGGAAAACCCTTCCATTTTCTGAGCTTCCTCATCTGCATGAAACTTTCGGGTCGTCTTTGTGGTCACTTGGGATGTCGTCTTCCCAGGAAACGGGGTGCTTGCCCACAACCGCTTCCTACCCACTGCCTTCCTTTAAAAAATAATTTTTTTTTTCCTTTTAGAGAGAGAGGAAGGGAGAGGGAGAGAGAGAAACATCGATGAGAGAGAACATCAACTGGCCGCCTCCTGCACGCCCCCCACTGGGGAGCAGGCCCACAACCTGGGCATGTGCCCGGACCGAACTGGCGGCCTCTTGGCACAGGGTCGACGCTCAACCACTGAGCCGCACCGTCCAGGTGCCACTGCCTTTCTAACTGCTCCTCCGACAGGTCAAGTGGGCTGGTCCCACTGCAGGGCCTTTGCACTTGCCGCCCTTCTGTTTGGGCCACTTCCTGCCTGGTCCTGTGAGTTGCTTTCTCGTCTAGGGCCTTCCCAGGTGACTCCCACTGTCCTCCTTATGTTCCCTACTGCATCTGCGCCTGCCTGAAAGGAGAATGTTTGTGTACTGGCTCGCAGGACTATTCTCCTCTATACCCCCGTCCTGAACACCTGCTCCCCGAGGACAAGACTTCCGCCAGGACTGTCGGAGCCCAGGGGAGCACCGGAGCACTGCAGGCGCCCGGCGCACCCTGGCTGAACGACAGACACGGTGGGACGTGCGGTCGTTGCATCGAGCTTGGCACTGGGCTTGGTGCATGACAGGCGCTCGGGGCAGGGCAATTATTTGTGATCCCCTGGTATCGAGTCTCTGCCCACCTGTCCTACTTTTCACGCTCGGTTGTGACCCTCTCAGGATCAGGGGCTGGTTTTATTTTGGCCTCTCAAGGGACCCACCGAGAGGTGATCCATGCGTGCTCCTGACCCAGCACAAGCTCAAATCGTGTCTTCGATCGAGGGCATCCAAAGACCAATGAAACCATCCTTGTTCTAAAAAAAATTAAACATTTTTATTAGTATATTTATTTTATATATAAAAGAAATACAAAAAAAAGAAACACAAAGAAAATGCTTTTATGGCAAATCGGACTTGGTGCCCTCGGCTTGGGTGCCAGGCTCTGACCCGCCGGGTGTCAACAGAGTCCGCCGGTTGTAGTGGCCCTTGATGATGCCTGTGTTGTTGTTCTCGTTGAGCAGCTGCTTCTGCCTTTGCCGGTTGAGGGACTGCACGAGGCCCAGCACGACAGCGGCCAAGGAGTACTGCCCCGGCAGCCTTCTCGGGGGCAAGATGAAGGGGTTGGGCTGGACTCTTCCCAGCAGAAAGTACGTTTTGATTTTCCCTTCCTGTTCACTGATGCCCTTCACGTAGATCTCCCCGCGGTAGTCAAAGGCAAAGCCCTGGTCCTTCAGGATGAGATAGGTCTCCTCTGGGACTTGGATCCGGCCGCTGACCCCCGTGCTGTCCATTCGGCTGGCCAGGTTCACGGTTTTGCCCCAGATGTCGTACTGTGGTTTCTTAGCGCCGATGACGCCGGCTACCACCGAGCCGTGGCTGATGCCTGTGAAGGAACCAAAGGAGCAAGAGATGAGAGAGGGGGACAGCCGCGAGGTGGCTGCACCCTGCCCGGGGTGGCGAGCATCAGGGTGTGATTTCTGCGGATAAATTCCAGGGGCCTGATCCTGCCTCCATCACTCATCAGATGTGTGACCTGGGTCACTTATTTAACCGATTTGGACCTCACTTTTTTTTTTTTTTTAATCTGTAAAGTGAAAATAATAAAAGGAAGATGAAATGAGATGATATAAGCTAAGCCACTGGCAACACCTGACAGCCAGTGGGTGCTCAAGAGGAAAGAATTCATATTGTCACATGGATGCTGATTTATCTCAGCCCACGGGACACTGAGGTCTCCCCCTGCCTCTGCTGTTAGTACTGAGAGCTTGGGCCGCCTCTTCCCTCTCTGGTGTAGTTCAGGTCCCGGGCATCATTCCCTTGGGCCACGGGGCAGCCTCCCAGCGGGCCTCCCTGTCTGCCCCCTCCACCTCCTGCAAGTCATCCACACTGCTGCCGGAGCAGGAGGGACACCGATGCCCATCTGACCACGTCACCACCCACATGACCCGGCCGTGGCTCCTCCGCCTTCGGGATAGCGCCGCGCTCCTGGCGTCAGGCTGGGGCTCAGACCTGGCTGTAGCCTCCGCACTCGGCTCTGATTCATACTGAAGTGCGAGTCCCCTGCCTGCCGGCCACGCCCTGTGCCTTCGTCCCCGCCTCTCTCTCTGCTTAATTCCTCCCAGCCCCGCAGTTGAATTGGCGGATGCTTTCTAAGACAGCTCCAACGGCCTCCTTCAGGAAGGAACTCCTCTTCCAGAAATGACAGCACGTCACTAAACAAGGTGGTGGGCGGTATGTCTCCTTCAAATGCAACTTCTCATCCACTCTGCAAATGTCTGCCTGGGCACCTGCTGTGCCCAGGGCCGGCCGGACACTGGGGATCTGAGGGGACAGAAGAAGCCAGCCCTGCCCTCCGGGCTTACCTTCCATGGGGAGAGACGGGAAAGAATAAAAATGTAACGTATCAGTGGACGTTCAAGTCTCTCAGGGAAAAACAATCGGGCAAAAGGGACAGAGAAATACGGGGTGGGTGGCATTTTGGAGAAGGGTGGTTGGGAACAGCCTCTGAGCTGAGATCTGAAGAATGTGACAGCACAGGCCATGTGCTGGGTTCGAGCACTCTCAGCAGAGTGAAGAGAAGCCCCCCCACACACACACACCCTGCAAACACGTACGCATTATAAGGTGCAGTCGGCTGTGGGGTTTGGAAGCAGACCTTGCGGAGTGCACGGGATCACGGGGACAGTGAGCTCTTCAGAAATGTGCCCTTGCACGGCCAACCCGCTGGCTTCTGTGACCACCATGGCGCAGGCGCAGGCGCCGCTCTCACACCAGGGTCACCCCCGGGAAACCCACACTCAGAGAGCGGGTCCCAGCGGGCCCACAGCTCACACTGAATTGCCCCATCTGGTCGGGGAAATAGTTGTCCGACCCCTGAACGGTGCCAGCAGATTCATACATCACACCAGGGTTGGCCCTGACCCCAGCCGCAGTCCGGAGTTCATGCAGACGACCCTTTGTTCAGGGCTCGAGTTCTGTTCTGTTTTCCTGCTCAGATTCGGTCACCAGTGATTTCAGAAAGGACACGCGAAGTCAATGGGAGATGTTGGAACAAGCCCTGAATATCCCACCCATAGATCAAAAACATAAAATATTCTTTTAGTACCACGAACAAAGGCACGTGACAGTCCTCAGATCTGACGAGTCAGATGTTGGCATTTCTTGACCTTTGTTTCTTGAAAGCTGCTAACGGGAGAACCAGATACAGTCAAATGGCACAGCATCCAGAGGGGTCTAACAGGGCTGCGGCAGAGACGGCTTTAGATTGTGCCCTGGCGTGGCTGCTGTGGCTCAGTGGATGGAGCATGTCCCATGGACCAAGAGGTCCCGGTTCGATTCCCGGTCAGGGCACATGTCCAGGTTGCGGGCTTGATCCCCAGTGGGGGGCGTGCAGGAGGCGGCCGATCCATGTTTCTCTCTCATATTGATGTTTCGCTCTCTCTCTAAAAACCAATAGAAACATTAAAAAAAAAAAAATAGATTGCACCCTAGCTGCCAGAATGTCACTGGTCTCAGAAATCCGGAGCTTCTACCAGGGCGACTGCTGGCTGTGTGATCTTCAGTTAGTCACCCCTTCTCTGGGCTGAGTTTACGCACCTGTGACATGAGAATGCGGACTCCAGCAGGGGCTTCCTAGCGCTGTAGGAGGCCCTCAAGGCTCAGCAGAGATGCCCACGGAGTCGGCACGTTATACAAACGACAAGGGCATTATTCACACCGTGTGACTCGCTCTGGTGCCCTTTGCACAAGGCGTCTCGGAACGGAGGAAGGGCCAGCTGTGGCCGAGGGAGGTGCTCTGCGGCTCTGTGCCTGGCCCTGTCCGACTCCCTGCTTTTCACTGTCCGGAAGGACTGGGTGGATACCCTGCTTGTCTGCTCGGGTGACACGGAGTCGGGAGGAAAGACTGGTGAGCGAGCTACCCCTCGGGCAGGGCCTGCGTGGGAGGGTGGTGGACGAGGAGGTGGCTGTGGTCGAGGGCTCGCTTTGCGTCTCTGCACACGGGCCAGTGTCCTTCCCTGGCCTCCAGCTTCTTCTGTGAGAGCAGCCAGAGAGGCCTGGGCTAACCCTGTCCCTGTCCTTGGCGAAGTCACAGTAAGCCTGCTGCGTTTTGCAGGAAAAAGCTCCCCTGGCTCCATCCCCAGGGCGAGGAGGGCCTGATGGTACAAGGCCAGGCGGCTCCCAGGGGTCCCAGGTCGCCACCACCTGCTGCTACTCACCAATCCGGAGTTCGAAGTTGTTGAAGGAATGCTTGTTGATCTCCTGGATGCTTTCCGTCAGGGCGAGCGAGAAGTCGGCCAGGGCGCACAGATGTCCCCACTTGTCCTCGCATTGCTGTAGCAAACGGGAGAGGGGCTCACTCTCTGCAGCAAACGTGAACGTTTCAGGAGCGGGGGCCCGCTCTAGGTCCTAAGCCCACCCGCAGCCCCTTAGGGAAATAACCAGGTGTGTGGCTCCAGGTGCGCTCAGCCCGCAGTGTCCGGAAACACGGGGCCAGGGCTTTGCTAGGAGAGTAAGGTCTGTGTGTGGTCCTCACGGTCCTTTCCCACACTGACACCTGTCCGTTCAGGTCCCACCCTGACACCTGTCCGTTCAGGTCCCACCCTGACACCTGTCCGTTCAGGTCCCACCCTGACACCTGTCCGTTCAGGTCCCACCCTGACACCTGTCCGTTCAGGTCCCACCCTGACACTTGTCTGTTCAGGGTCCTGAATTCCTGACCATGCTCACTGTTGTGTGTGTGTGTGTGTGTATGCGTACACACATGCGTGTGTGTGTGCATTATGTGTAGTGTGTGTACACATGCTCCTCTGTACACATGTGTCGTGTTTCCAATCCAGGAAGCCCGAGGCTTCCAAGCAGGCCCAGGGAGGGAGCAGGCAGCAAATGTCTCAGGCCTGGCGGCCCATCCCTGGCATGACTGCTCAGCTCTGCCATCGGAGCTGGAAAGGAGCCGTCGGCAAAGTGCGAATAGTGAGTGTGACTGTTCCCATACAATACGATGGACAGAAGCAGGTGGCTGGCCAGACCTGGCCCACAGGCTGTCCTTGGTGGGCCCCCTACGGAGCGCCAGGCACAGGTACCCGGTTCCTAGCATGAGTTTCTTGCCAGACAGTTGCCCTTATCCTAGTCCTAGGTTTCTTAGATGGAAAGGAAAAAGGAGGGGCGAGAAGAAGGAATGAGGATTTCTTCTCCCCAGTAACTTAGACTCATATCCATGTGACCATAATCGAGGACCTACTAGGGCAAGGCATGCGTGGGCATGACATTATCGTGGGTGATTCGTCCACTAACCCCGGAAGGTAGACATTAGTGTTTCTGCTTAACCTGAGTGCCTGGTGCACAGACCACACTCAAAAGAGCAGGAGCTATTATTATTATTATTATTATTACTCCATATTACTGTGGAGGAGAAAACAGGCTAGGATCAGGGGTTTAGTAACAGCCACAACTAAATCATAATCACACTTCTTGGCCCTGATTTTGTTCATCACGTGGACAGTGATGTTCAGAATGAAGCCGAGAGGGTTCTCGATCATAAAGGCGCATCGGTCCCTCCAGTAGACTCTACTTAGCTCGGGGGCATCACACAACCGAACACCAGTTCGTCAGATTTTCTCCCTAACAGTCTCCAAGCCTCCTGGCAACGGGGGCCTCACCACCTCCCGCAATGGGACAACAATGACGCCCCTGCCGTCGGTTGTGGCTGAGGCCAAAGGGTTCCTTTACCTGCTTTTCAGGTGACAGGCCCGAGACAGCCATGTAGGTGCTGCCAATGGTCTTGATCTTTTCAATGTCTTGGAAGCGGTCTTCACCGAGCAGCTGAAACAGACCCGGCAGCGGTGTTAGTGCTGGTGTGTAACCCCCAGCAGCCTGGGTTCCTGAATACAGCCCCCGGTTCACGGGAAAGATGCCCTCCGACCAGCTCAGCACCCTTCAGGCAGTTACGTTTCTCTCTGAAAACCATGCGTTCAGAGTCAACATACATTTCCTGAGCACCTGCCAGAGGCCAGGACGGGTGTGACCAGATATTCTCTTTTTTTTGGGGGGGGGGGGGTACGTGCGTGCCCCTAGCCGCTAGGACCCAGCGGGAACTGAACCCGGGACTCTCTGGTCCGCAGGCTGATGCTCCAACCACTGAGCCGAACCGGCCAGGGCGTGACCAGATATTCTTTCAGGATAGGCCTGTGTCTATGAATCTTCGCAATAGACAAAGCAACCTTATTAATTTAAAGAAGAAATCACCAATGTTCCGCAATCCATCAACACATCTCTTTGGCTTTATTTTGAACATGTATTAGGAATCCTTCTCTACCAGCTCCCTGGCCTCTGCCACTGTTAGCGTCTACATCGTTACTTTATTGCCATAACTTACCAGCCCCTATCCTTACCCCACATGCCCAACATGGAAGCTGTGTGTGTGTGTGTGTGTGTGTGTGTGTGTGTGGCCAGATTCACAGCTGAGGTAGCCTTTGGTCATTACTTCTGTTTCTTGCGCTAAAGAGAAGCCGCTGTTCTGTGCTCTGCGGAGTCTGCCGAGTGCGCCCAGGGCAGGAAGTAGCTGGAGCAGCCTGCTTGTCCTCAGCCTGAGATCATGTCTGACAGGTGCCCTCAGACACCTCCAAGCAGAGTTAGTCTCTGAGCACCCCTTTGGCTGTTAATATTCAGCTCAGAGACCTGGCATGCCCTCGGCCGCCCCCTCCCACCTCCTTACAACTGCGTTTCCCCAGCCTCCGTGGGGAGGAGACCCTCCCCTCCTCTCTTCTCTTCCGGACTACCTGGCCGAGGGCCAATTTCAGGCGCAGGCAAAGCTGCCTCCTCCTCTAGAGATTAGGAGGCAGCAAGAGTCTTCATTATTTCATTCAATGTCCACGCAGCGAATTTATCTACTATACAGCTCAAGGCGTCTGCGGGCACAATAGCTTCCTAATCGCCCCTTTATTGATTCATTAGTCTGCCTGGAGCTGGGAGATGGGAGAGGACTCTCCAGCCTTCACTGGGCGGGGGCTTGGGGCGCGGACCCGGCACTGCTGCAAACCCAGCCTTGCAGCCTGTGCTCCGTGCAGTGTCCTGCTTTCCGGAGCCGCGGGTTCCTGCAGTAACTGTGACAGCAAGACAGTGTCGCTGTGCTGGAGCCTAGCCAGGGCAGAATCGAGAGGGCCACGCTTGGCCCAAGGAAAGAAGGCATGTCTGGGTAACCCAGGAGAGCGGACAGTGCTTGGGGTGGCAAGACAGGGGTGTCTTTTCCTTATTGAGGACGTTTTCTTCCCTCTTCCTCCTCCTCTGCCCTTTCTCTTCGACTTCCTCCCCGCCCCTCCTCCAAAGCCTCTGTCCTAGAGATGACAGCCTTCTGGACCAATCCCCTTCTCTTAGCCACCAACTTCCCTCTGCAAGCGCCCATCTCTGCCACTAGGGGCGCTGTCCCCTGTCTCCGTTTTTTGGAAGACTCCAGGGTGGTTACAGTTTGGGGCACCGAGATGTGCATTTAGTTTAAATGTATTTATTACAATTTTAAACCATGGCAGTGAGCACCTTCAGGAGACGGGGTGCTGTAGAGTTTAAAATAAAACAGCGCCTCATGTTTCAACCTTCATTCAGACGATGGTTAATGGAGATACTTTTATTTCTTCTGTTTGAGAGTAGGTTTTGGACTGTACTAGTCCATCACCACCTTACTGTCTGCCACCTGGTTTCTGGCTCCCAATATGTAATTAACCAATAAAGCATCTCTTATGTTCCAGGCACAGTGCTAGGCCCTGGGGCCGGCAGGACCCGTGAGAGTATAGTTTCTATCTTCACGAGCTGATGGCCTGGCCTGGATGATGGGAATAAAGGTGCTATTCCCACGAAATCACCCTCCACTCCCCGCATTAAATGCCGCTTAAGTGGGAAACAGCGCCACACCACAGCTAGAAAGCAAAGCAGGCGGACCTGGGTTTGAATCCTGGCAGTACCATGTTCGTGGTGTGTGACCCTGGACATTCCTGGTGCTTCTGAGACTGTTCCTCACTTATAAAATGAAGGCTAATGATTCCTGTCCTGTGGGTTTGGTGTGACGGATAAATAACAACTAAATGTGGTCATAGTGGAAATGGCAACATGTGGTGGACACCTATAGAGATCAATACGCTGGGTCTCTGCCCCAGAATGCTGTGGTTAGTGGGGGAGGAGAATCTGTACACTGAAGGGTTTCAGGCTCTATGATGGAAGGTGTTTTTGGAGTATAATTTTTCACTGAAAAATGAGAGACTAGCCCTGGCTGGTTTGGCTCAGCAGTTAGAGCGTGAGCCCACGGACCAAAGAGTCATGGTTCGATTCTGGCCAAGGGCCCATCCCTCGGTTGCGGCTCATCCCTGGCCCTGGTTGGGGTCGTGTGGGAGGCAACCAGTCGATGTGTCTCTCCCACATCATGTTTCTCTCTTTCTCTCCCCCCACCCCTCCCACTCTATTTAGAGATAAATGGAAAAAAAAAATATATCCTCGGGTGAGGATTTAAAAAAAACACACACAAAACAAAACAACAACAAAAATGAGTGGCTACATGTACCTGACTGGGGAGGGGGGTTGGGGGAGAGGTCACAAGTAGAGATGCTGTTTGAACTGACTGTTAAGTGACTACCAGGTCTTCCACGGGCTCTGGAGGCGAGGGCGGGAGGATGGTGTGGTGAGGGAGGAGTCACTTCTGGGCAGAAAGGGCGGCGTGTGGAGTAGCGAGGTGGGCTCGGTGGCTTGTAAGTAGCTAGACGGCGCTGGGCGGCAGGCTGCGGGCATGTAGTGGGAGGTAAGGCCGGAGAGGGTACAGGGACAGCAAGGGCAAAGCCTCAGGTGACCTGAGGGATTGGCAAAGGGGAGCCACTGAAAGTTTGGGCTTTCAAAGGGATGTGATGAACTATTTCTGTTTTAGCTCTGGCTGGTTTGGCTCAGCGGTTAGAACATCGGCCTGCGAACCAGAGAGTCCTGGATTCGGTTCCCGCGAAGGGCATGAACCTCGGTTGCAGTTTGTCCCTGGTCCCGATTGGGGTCATGTGGGTGGCAGGCACTCGATGTGTCTCTCTCAACACCGATGTTTCTCTCTCTCTCTTCCTCCCTCTTTCCCTCCCACTCTATCTGAAGATAAATGCAAAAGTGTCCTCAGGTGAGGATACAAAGAAAAAGAAAAACAGTCCTGCTTTGGTTCGTTGCTGATGGTGGAGTGCAGGAGGGATGGCAGTCAGGAACTGACTGTGGCCGTCCAGGTGAGAAATGATATGGCCCAAAGCAAGGCTAAGAAGAAGGACGTCGCACGACTCAGTAGCCAGATGGAGTGTGGGGACTGAGAGAGGACGTGGTCCAGGTGATCCAAGAGGGGCTGTTGGTGCTCCGCCCAGACCTGCTTCCTGGGGCCACCGGCAGAACGCCATGTGGGCTGGCTGCTGACCGCGCATGGCCGTGCGCTTTCTCCGAGGATTGCCCAGGCAGCGGAAGCCCCCTTGCTGGAAATGTGAGGGTAATGCACCCCAGGGGGCAGCCACAGCCAATGGCTCATCAACACCGGGGTACAGAAGCCCAGCCCCCTTGTCTCAATGGGAAGCAACTCCGTGGTCCCACGGGGTCAGGCTGAGGCTAGACGGTAGTTGCACGTGCATCTTTGCGTGGCTACTTCCCCAGCATTTCCCCAGGTAATCATTTACTCCCCTCCTCAGGCTTCGGCGAATCAGCGGGCACCGGGGCCCTTCTTCAAGTTGCGGGGTGGGAAGGAGAAGGCCCACTCTTGCCCAAGTCTGTTAATGTAAATAAACTGCAGCCCGGGTTCACCTCCCCCCTACCCTGCGCCAATGTTCTGTGTTCTTTGGGCTCATGGATGCTGGAAGAAGACAGTACTGTCTAGAGTGTAGAGTATATTTACCCTTGTGTCCAGGTCTTTGACCAAATACTAGTGGATGGCGTTATCTCTGGCACTTTGAGCAGATGGAGAAATGTCCCCATCAGTGCCCAGTGTCTGCGAGGCTAGGGCCTGAGTAGTAGGCCTCCAACCAAGTCTTGGTTTTGCCATTTGCTGGCTGGGGGACATTGGGTGAAGTTACCTAGGCTCTGAAGTCATGTTCTTGATCCCCCCAAGGGAGAAACCACAGCATTTATCTCATGTGATCATTGTGATCATCAGATTCGACAATACATGTTTGTGTTTCTAACGCAGCCTGGAATTCTGTAAGTGGGAAAAATGGCCACTGCTACATAATGCCGTGACCACAGCGACGGCCAGTTGTGCCTGGAAATGTCCGCGGCTTCGGCTTACCTCGTCGAAGTCGGCAATGATCTCGTTCAGCAGGCGCAGGCACTCCACTCCTTGGTTATTCATTTCGGTCTGGGAGTAGAAGTCCGCGAACCCCGGGATGGAGGCGAACATCACCCCAACGGCGTCATAGGACTGAGAATACAGCTCCTGAGCAGAGGGACACAGAGGGAGCCAGAAACAGTCGTCAGAGGGAGGCTCTGCAGGGATGCTCCCTCTGCAGGGATGCTCCCTGAGCAAACACACCCCTGCACCCGAGCACCGGTACCCACCGAGAGGACACTGCCGTAACCACAGTGCCATCACCGTGGGAACTGGGACCATTGACGTTCAAGGTCTCCAGCCTCAGAGTCCTCAGGGCCCATCCCTTTGTCCTCCGCCTCCTTTTCTGTTGTCCTCAAGGCCACGCCCTCACCGTGCTTCTTAACGTCACCCTCACTGATTCCTCCAGTAGGTGACCTTGCCTCTTCATTGAGAAGCATGAGGCTCTCGGTGTCCCAGTCCTCATACATTTGTCCACGTTCATGTTCATTTCAGTCTCTTCCGCTTCAACTCCAGAGGATGCACTTTGCCTTCTGCTGAAGGTCAACACTTGTACCTGACCTCTTGACCCCCTTCTAATCCCTCCCCCACAGTGATCCTTTTCCTTCTTATTTCTTTTTCCTCTCCTCCTCCTCCTCCTCCTCCTCCTCCTCCTCCTCCTCCTCCCCCTCCCCCTCCCCCTCCCCCTCCCCCTCCTCCTCCTCCAAGTGTCTCCTAGAAGAAAAAGTCTGGTGTGCCCTGCATCCTGAAGGCACTAGTGACTACCAACCATCTTTCTCCACCTTTGTCCAAATTTCTCAAACTAGTTTTCTCCCCAGCCTGGTCCCTCTCTGTCAATGTCCATTCACACGTCGGGTTGAGATGAAATGACTGGAGCAGGGCAGACTGCCGGGCAAAGTGGAAGAATCACCACGCAAGTATCAGCACACATCTTCCTGAGGCCTGTGCAACTAGCTGGGGTAGTGACCTCCTCAAAGGTCTCTTCTATGCTTTAGTAACACTGCCTCTGTTTTTCTTGTGTCCGGCCCCTTCCGTGATATTTTTCTTTCGTGCTCATCTGCCACCTTAAATATTGGTGACTGCTACGTTCTGTTCTTGACTCACGGCATGGCTCAATGTTGCACCCCCATCTGGGCCACCGTGCCCCTCCTAGCCTTTCACCAACATTCACGTGTGAGAGTCTAAATCCTCGGCCCCAAGTCCGTTCCTTCGGGCTTCAAACCTCTGTGTCTCGTGCTGGGTTGCCCCCGCTCCTCCCAGAGCCAGAGCCTTAGCCTTGTGTCCCCAAATGCATCTTCTTCCACCTGAACCTGCTCCTCCTCCTCCATCCTCCAGCTGAGCCTGTGGCACCCACACTGCCGAGTCACCGAAGTTACAGACGCTGAGTCATCCTTGACTCCTTCCCCGTCAGGTCCAGATTCAGTAAATTGCCACATCCTGCTGGGGTCCTTTTTGTTTCCCCAATTTTTTTTTTCTAACCCTCCCACCATGCTTTCTTCAGGTCCTTCCCATTTTCCCCCTTTACCGGTAATAGTTCCCTGACTTCAGTCTTGCCTACCCAGGGGCACGTTCCACATGGCAGCCAAGGTGATCTTTTAAAGATACAGGATTGACCCTACTTCTCCCGTTCCCCACGCCGCCAGGAGGAAGCTCAAACGCAGTGGCGTGACAGATATTCATGTATTCTTGCCCTTGTCTCCACCTCTCCTCAGCCTCACTGCCCGCAACTTAGTCTCCGTGTCGTGTCGGACCTTGTGTTCCAAAAGAGCGAATCCTTTGTACTTTTGTGAGCGCATCGTAGCAGATGCTGTAGCTGCAGGCCTTGTCACTCAAGGGCGAGCCCTTGCGTTTCTCTGCATGGAGTTTCTTTCTGGCCACAAGAGGGCACTCTGTTTACGGAAGCAGTGGGCTGAACCCTCCAGGAAATTAATGCTCCCACCCACAAGAGGAGCTGTCAATCAGTGACGGATAAGATCTGGCTGTAGTCTTAGCTCCTTCACCTCTTGGGTCAGATAACTTTGAGGTAATGTTTTCGACACCATTGTCCCAAATTCCCCAGTGGGATTAAGCTCCAGTCACCCACAGAAGTAACTCGTCTGATAATGCTCTCTTGCCTACCTGGGTTTCCTGGACCACCTCTGAGCAAATTGCTTGTACTCGAACCCTGGTCACAGGTATGCTTCTGGAAGAAGCCAGACGAAGACATATACTCTTCAGCTTCATGCTGTAATGTTTTTATTCTTACCGTCTGTCCCTTGATGGGGCCTAGCCTTCCTTCCTGCAGGCATCTTCCCTAAGCAGGCTAACCCTTGTTTGCTGTCTTCGGTAACCACGGAGATAGCATGTCTCTCAGCCAGGCCCTGTGCTGCGGCCGCACCCTGAGCGCACCCTAAGGCTCTACACCGCAGCCCTCGCCGCCTGTCCTAGCACCAAACGTCTGTCTCTTCCCGTCCGCGTGGACTCTTGTAGGGCGAGGGCTCCAGGCCGTTCATCTCAGTACATTCAGATCACCCAGCTGGTGTTTTGGGGGTGCCTGTGGTGTAGTGCATGCCCCACGCAGGATCTGGGGCAAGGCGGATGCTCACGTCAGTCTGTTGAGTTACTAGCCTTTGTAGGAAACATTAAGGCTCACAGGTGCTTCCATGCGAATTCAGCGACTTAGTCCTTGCAACAGTCCTGTGAAACAGGTACGACTATTACCCCCACTTTACAGAAGAGGAACATGAGGCAGAGGAGTAGGTCACTGTCTGGGCTCACACAGTTTTCGGAGGTTAGAAGACCCCCAGGGCCTTCCCGTCTGCTCATCTAGGCTCGCCTTCTCGGCCTTTCGTGCATCCGTCTCAGAAAGATGTTCCCGAGTCTTGATACGTTGGTCTTGAGCTGTGAAGTGTGGGGGAACCTGAACGGATGCCTTCGCCAGCCCTCGTCCAAAGGAGCATGGGCAGCTGCCGACCGGCTGGACTGGGCTTGGTCGGGGGTGAGGCACACTGATTGCAGCCCAGGGGCAGTTTGAGGGAGGGGGGGCCTCTCACCTAGGCCTTGAACCAAGGGGTTGATACCACGGGGGAACGCGACTCTGCTTCATGAGTCAGAGGACCTGCATAAGCAACTCACAGAACTGTATCCTCCGAATGGCGATGATCTGGAGGGCAAAACCTCTATTGCCTTTTGTATTAGTTTTCTCAGGCTGTGTAACGAGGTGCCACAGACCGGGGGCTTTAAACAACAGAAACTCATTTTCTCATAATTCCCGAGACTGGAGGTGGGAGACCGATGTCGGCAGCGTTGGCTCCGAGGCCTGTCTCCTGGGCTGGTGGATGGTCTTCTCCCTGCGCCCTCACAGGGTTTTCTTCTGTGTGTGTCTGTGTCCTGACCTCCTCTTCTCACAAGGACCCCAGTCACATTGGATTAGGACCTGCCCTAGCGGCCTCATTTTAACTCAGTTACCTCTTTAAAGACCCTTTCTCCAAATCCAGTTGCATTCAGAAGTACTGGGGTTAGAACTTCCAACTATGATTTGCGGGGACACAATTCAGCCTACAGCTCCTGTATTTCTATTTTCTGTTTAAAATAGGGGAAAAAGGAGAAAACCTTACCCAGCCCTCTGAAACCCTTTCCATAATTACTGAGGTACCCAAGGCCCCTCCCACTTCCTTTCTGCCTGGTGACATAAAGGCCTCTGGCTGAAGAATGGCTGGTCACCGGGGTTCATAACAATCACCTGTCTGCTCGAGTGTTCTGATGAGCCCTGGCAAGCCGCGCTCCCCTAGGGCCACGGCTCTCGGCTCTCTTGGTCCTAGGAACGGCTTTAGCCACTGTCCCTTTGGGCCTGGGGTGGTGACAGCTTCCTGAGACCGCTGACCTCAGAGGCTTCAACCCCCTCTTTATCACTGTTGCCTCCTTTAGGGACCCAACAGGAAAGAGGTGGACACATTCACATGAAGGCAGTTCAAGGAAGGTTCACTTAGAAAGGGCTTCATTAGGGAGACGGGGACAGCGGGGGGAGGACACCGGAGAAACCCCTGGGGAACCAGGGCCGCAGCAACAGCTGCCATCCTGGCCTGTGAGGCCCGAGAGGAGCCCACGTGGGTGGGTTGTGTTGACCCTGGAGGCAGCACAGCAACGGCCTTGAGCGGAGCTGTCACTTTCTGAGGAGGGACAGGGACTGCCTCGGAGGATCCTGAGAAAGAGGGCCGAAGGAATAAATATCCTGACCTCGTTCTCATTCCCTTCCCTCTGATCTATCCAGCATCCCCCATTGATGACTCTCAACTGGGTGCCACAGGGTGTGCGGGTCCATTGATGCAGCCCAGGCAAATCAGGCCCCGACTCCCCAGCACCCAGGGAGAAGGGGGCGGGGGGTTGGAGGGGCACCCGGAGGACCTCCAGCCACCTGCCTCCACCGTCAGAGATAGCCCGTCATTCAACTGGCTCCAATCAACTGCTTCCAATGTGCCATCTGTTCCTTGCTATTTGGGGCTCAAAGAAGATAAAAATACTGTGAACTAGGGAGGGAGCAATAAATATAGGAAAGCTATTATTGTCTTATTGTCATCCTTCTCTGGCTGGATGTACAGGTTTGGGCTCTGCAGAGGATTTGGAGCATGCACACCCCCCCCCCCCCATGCCAACATAAAGACTTTGGTTTCCTCTTCGCTTGGAGAACTATAACTGTTCCTTCCCCTGCCCAGGCCTGCCTGACGCCACATTCTGTGTTTCTTACATGAAGTTAAGCCCTCTCTCTGCAGGGAGAAGCAAGGTCTGAGACCTGTTGACCTTATTAGCATCCTTTCATGATATTCAAGTCTCTCCTCAAATGTCACCTCCCTGGAGAGTTTCCACAACTCCCCAATGTCAATGCCACCCCTTTTCAGTACTGACTCCCTTATTTGGCTTCTCCTACTCTCATAGAACTTATTAACGGGCACTATGTTGTATAGTTATTCAGTTTAATGTCTGCCTTCCCATGAAAACACATGCTTCATGTCAGCAAGGATTCTGTCTTCTCTGTTCACTGAACACCAGCATCTAGAACAATGCTTAACACATGGTTGGTCCTCAGCAAATATCTGCTTAACAAATGAGCAAATGAATGGGTGGGGGTGGGG